TACAGACACATGCCTAGAACCCCGACCAGGGACATTCTATTTGCTACCCAAGATCCATAAACCTGGAAATCCTGGACGCCCCATCATCTCAGGCATTGGCACCCTAACATCAGGCTTGTCTGGTTATGTGGACTCTCTCCTCAGACCCTACGCTACCAGCACTCCTAGCTATCTTCGAGACACCACTGACTTCCTGAGGAAACTACAATCCATCGGTGATCTTCCAGAAAACACCATCCTGGCCACTATGGACGTAGAAGCCCTCTACACCAATATTCCACACAAAGATGGACTACAAGCTATCAGGAACAGTATCCCCGATAATGTCACAGCTAACCTGGTGGCTGAACTCTGTGACTTTGTCCTCACCCACAACTATTTCACATTTGGGGACAATATATACCTTCAAGTCAGCGGCACTGCTATGGGTACCCGCATGGCCCCACAGTATGCCAACATTTTTATGGCTGACTTAGAACAACGCTTCCTTAGCTCTCGTCCCCTAACGCCCCTACTCTACTTGCGCTACATTGATGACATCTTCATCATCTGGACCCATGGAAAAGAAGCCCTTGAGGAATTCCACCATGATTTCAATAATTTCCATCCCACCATCAACCTCAGCCTAGATCAATCCACACAAGCGGTCCATTTCCTGGACACTACTGTGCTAATAAGCGATGGTCACATAAATACCACCCTATACCGGAAACCTACTGACCGCTACACTTACCTACATGCCTCTAGCTTCCATCCAGGACACACCACACGATCCATTGTCTACAGCCAAGCTCTAAGATATAACCGCATTTGCTCCAATCCCTCAGATAGAGACAAGCACCTACAAGATCTCTATCAAGCATTCTTAAAACTACAATACCCACCTGCTGAAGTGAAAAAACAGATTGACAGAGCCAGACGAGTACCCAGAAGTCACCTCCTACAAGACAGGGCCAACAAAGAAAATAACAGAACACCACTAGCTGTCACCTTCAGCCCCCAACTAAAACCTCTCCAGCGCATCATCAGAGATCTACAACCTATCCTGAAAGATGATCCTTTACTCTCACAGATCTTGGGAGACAGACCTGTCCTCGCTTACAGACAACCCCCCAACCTAAAGCAAATACTCACCAGCAACCACACATCACTGAACAAAAACACTGACCCAGGAACCTATCCTTGTAACAAAGCCCGATGCCAACTCTGTCCACATATCTATTCAAGTGACATCATCATAGGGCCTAATCACATCAGCCATACCATCAGGGGCTCGTTCACCTGCACATCTACCAATGTGATATATGCCATCATGTGCCAGCAATGCCCCTCTGCCATGTACATTGGCCAAACCGGACAGTCTCTACGCAAAAGAATTAATGGACAAAAATCTGACATCAGGAATCATAATACTCAAAAACCAGTGGGAGAACACTTTAACCTGTCTGGCCATTCAATGACAGACCTGCGGGTGGCTATCTTACAACAGAAAAACTTCAAAAACAGACTCCAACGAGAGACTGCTGAGCTGGAATTGATATGCAAACTAGACACAATCAACACAGGATTAAATAAAGACTGGGAATGGCTGAGCCATTACAAACATTGAATCTATCTCCCCTTGTAAGTATTTTCACACTTGCTTCTTATCAAACTGTCTGTACTGAGCCATCTTGATTATCACTTCAAAAAATTTTTTTCTCTTACTTAATTGGCCTCTCAGAGTTGGTAAGACAACTCCCACCTGTTCATGCTCTCTGTATGTGTGTATATATATATCCTCAATATATGTTTCACTCTATATGCATCCGAAGAAGTGGGTTGTAGCCCACGAAAGCTTATGCTCTAATAAATTTGTTAGTCTCTAAGGTGCCACAAGTACTCCTGTTCTTTTTGCGGATACAGACTAACACGGCTGCTACTCTGAAACCTGAACATACTGTCCTCCTCACTGAGCATACTCCAGCCCCTGTCAGCTCCTCCTGTTGACTAGCCTGAACATGCATCCCCAGAAAGTGCTAAAGCCCAGGGATACTGGCACCAAGCAGAACATTCCCTGCAATTGCTGCTCCCAGCTGCTGCAGACTGGTGTAGGGCCGGGCACCAGAACTGAGAGCACGGAAACTCTCCCCCTTGTGCTCTCAATGACCTGGTCCCCACCCCCTGCTGGCAACCAGGCAGAGTGGAAAAGGAAGGTGCCTGACAGAGGGGACAAAGAGTCTGTGGGGGAAAAGGAGGGGAGTGGGATTGGTTAGGAGAGGAGACTGGGCCTGAGAGCTGGAGAGGGAAATGGGGTGAGGGGACTGGGAGCCAGTGAGGGAGGACAGACTCAGATTTATGAAAGAGCAGTGGGGGGTGAGGAGACTGTGACTAACTCAGAGAGAAAAAAAGACTGGGCCTTAGGATCCCATGGGGGGAGAATGGGGATGGTGAGGAGGAGGAGACAGATCTGATAAGAAGCCACGGTGCATGGGGAAAATTGGAACTGTTCTGAGCAAAGAGACTGGGACAAGGCAACTGGTGGAAGGTGATGGGGGTGGGAGGGAGACTGAAATTGAATAATATACTATTTGCTCCATCATAGGATTGGCGTGAATGGTGCTGTTCAACCCTTATAGATTCATAGATGTGAAGGCCAGAAAGACCATTATGATCATCTAGTCTGACCTCCTGCATAACACAGGCTAGACAACCTCACCCTGATGACTACAGCAGTGGTTTTCAACCTGTGGTCCACGGACCTCTGGGTGTCTACAGACTATATCTAAGGGGTTACTAAGTTAATAGTTCCATTAGTTGATTATCTTCACAGTTTAAAAAGCGTGACTTATTTCTAGTCTGAATTTGTTGAGCTTCAGCTTCCAATCGCTGGATCTTGCTACACCTTTTTTCTGTTAGTAAACAGCTCTTTATCAGAACTCTTGTCCCCATGTACATATGCATTATCATACAGTATTTTTACATACTATTTTCCCACACGCTCTCTGCCTCCTTTAGTACCCAGAAGATCAAAACCAAAATCATTGGTGCCTCCTTCAGAGAGTGCAAACCACCAGAAACCACGATCAGATGTTATGATCTTGCAAGCCAATATCTTACATCCAACCTTTCTTTGTAGAACAACTTGAAAACGTGGCAACTAGTTGATTCCCACAGCACTTAATCGCTGCTCATCTTCACATTCCCTGACTCCTGATACAGAACATGGGTGGGTGATTTTCAGGGGGCTGCAGGCAGAGTCTCACCATCACTGCTCAGCCTGCCAGCAGCTTCCCAGGGGGTCAGTGAGGAGGTTCTGCTCCAGTCCAGCTCCTGGGTTAAACTGAATAGGAAGTTTGGGGAATTAAACTAGTTCCTGTTTGATGTGTGTGTGAGGTGTCTCTGCATGCCAGTGTAACCCTTCTGCCCATCAGAGTTGGCAGCAACAAGGGCCGGGTTCAGTATCTAGGGGTGCCGTTTCAATAACACAATGCAAAACCGGATTGAGCCCCCACCCAGTGACCTGGGACAATTACATACCACCCCCTGGGCACCTCTAAGAGGCAATACTTTCCCTTTCGCAAGCACAGAGTCTGAGTGTAGCAAAAGCCTTTTAATAAAGGAGGGAAACAATGCGGCATTATGTTGGGGAAACACCACAAACAGGATTCATAACACAAACCATGAGCAAAAGACCCACTCCCAAGTAAGCTTGGCAGTGTCCTTTTCCCCTTAGGGTCTTAAGTCAAGAAACCCAACAGTCACCCCATCCACAGTTTCTGACCTTGGTCAGTGCACACCCCCGTTCAGAAGTTCATCTGCAGAGTTTAGCTCCCCCTCCCTGGGTGGAAGTGGGGGGGGGGCATTGCTTGGGTTGAGGGTCAATTGCCACACCTCTCCATGGGGTCTTGCTGCAGTCTTCGCTACCAGCTCCTCCGCACCACCAGCTGTCATGCTAGCCACTTGCCAACTTGTCTTCAGCCCCCCCTCTTTAATACAGCTTGAAGTGAGCTCACCTCTTAGTGATTTTTAGCTGGTAGTAGGAGAGAGTCAGTGCTGCTACACCACTAGCCCAAAGTAGGTCAAATGCTTAGACCCAGGTATCAGTAACTTCAACTCCATCACATGTAAGAAGACTCCTAATGGAATCAAAATTAGCTCTGCTGTTGCACGGTGGAGAAAGGACAAGTTATAATGGTGTTTAGTGCCCACAAAGGAGACATCAACCAACCACTCTCAATTCACTGGGTTGTGGTGGAACCCATGTCCCTTGCCTAGCGAGTGCTCCTTCGTTGAGGGCAAGTCCCTCTGTCATAAAATGCCAAGTACAGTTCTACTTTCCTTGATTCACATAACCAGGATAACAACCCTTTATTACTCCTGCCCCAATAACAAAGACTGGGGATCCCACAGCAGCCAAAGTGACCATTTGGGCAAGCAGTCCATCATGCTAGGCAGGGTGGATGTGCCCATGCAAACGAGATCACCCCTGAAATCCTTTTCCACAGCTCATCACCAGATGTCAGGGTAGAGCTCACTCTGACTCTGCTGACAGCAGTGCAATCACAGCGCGCTGCAACCAGCCCTCAGCTCAGCCCTGCGGCCGCTTAGCGAGAGGGTGGGAGGCGATCGGGCTGGGGAGGGGTGGGTAGGACTTGGGCTTGGGGCCTGTGGGCGAGAGGGTGCTCAGGGGCTGGCAGGCAGCCGGTGCTGGGGCCTGTGGGGGGATTATTCGACGTGGGGCTCAGAAGGTATCGAGCCCGAGGGGTCGGGGATTCGGGGTGGTGCTGGGGGGCGGCTGGGCGTGCGGGACCTGAGGCTGGGCGGTGGAGCTATTGGAGCTGGTGGGGTCTGGAGGGAGGTTGGGGGCGGGACCCGAGATGGGGAGCGGTTGGGGGGGGCGGGGCCGGGGCGAAGGCTCCGGCCGCTCGGACTCTGTTGCCCGGCAGGGGGCGTGTGTCGCCGGCTCTCGAGTGCCGCCGCGCGCGCCCCCGCCAGCAAATAGCAGGTCTCGCGGCGCGGTTGCGGAAGGTCGCGGGGCGGGGCCGGACGAGGTGGCTGCGAGCGCTGGGCTGTACAGCTGCGAGCCCCGCGATGGCTCCGGGCCGCGGGCTCCTTCTCTGCGCCCCGCTTGCGCTACTGCTGCTGGCAATGGCCCCGGACAGCGCCTCCCCGGCTGCTGCGTCCGAGGGAGGTAAGAGACCCCGGCCCGCCCTGCCTCCCACGCCACAGCCCTCGGGTGTCTGTCCCCCATGCCCCACCCCCCGGTGTCCTGCCCCGCACC